CGGCCCCCGTAGGGATGGCTCCGTTCCCATACCGTCTCCCTCCCTCCTCCCCTCATTTCATGACTGTACCTCCGAGCAACCACCTTCAGACACCCTCAGCAAACCAGATCGGCACCAAGACTTCTCTTTCCGACGACTTTCATGGTAAGCTCTCTTCATGGTCGTCCAAGCTCAATCAATCTATCAGATCCGTCCTCCAATCGACTGAGAGGCGTCTATTCCCCAGGCCAGGAGGTAGCCCTTCACCCTCGGCCGAAACAGTAGCAGCGACTCATGTCCCGTCGACCTTTTCAATCCCAGGAGGCCCTAATCTCGCCGAAAACCTGCAGTTCGGCTCCCTCCCGACGGACACCCTCCTCCATCCGCTAATCTCAGCCCCCCTGACAGAAAACTTTCCCACCACTCAAACCTCATCCATTGGTCTCCCCCATTTTCCCCCAGCTGACTGTCTAATTGGGCCACCCCCTAGGCCCAATTTAGAACCCCATCTCTCCCTTAGTGGGCCGTCTCCCTTGGCCCACTCTTCTCCCCTCCCATTTTCAGATATTTTGTCTAGGCCCACCACAGATCCAAAACAGATCTCCAAGCCCCCAGCTCATAAGCTTGTTTGCGCATCCTCCCCAACAGACCTGTTATCGGCGGCCACCTCCCATACCCGTTCGCCGCCGGTCGGCACCACCCTTGCCGGCCCTCCTCCCGGCTCTGGTTCCGGCGCCCACCACCCTCAGCCGGGTGAAGACCGCCCCATGGTAACTTCTAGCGCGGGCCTGTTGCCCGATCCGCCGGCTACCATCGCGCCAGCAACTGGCCACCCCGGTCAGGCCACTGCAAAGTCCGGACCTATGCACACTTCCGGCAAGGACACATCCACCTCGCACTCAGCCCAGATTTTCGGTCACGGGCCTCCCCCTACAACTGCCGCGTCACCGGTTCTTCCTCCGCCCCAACCGGAGAACCAAGGACCACGCCCCGGAGCTTCTTCTTTTCGAGACGCGGTGGCTGGCACACCTACTGCAAAACTGGATCATCACAGACGGACATTGGAGTCATTTCGGGACAAACAAAGCGGGACCGTCACCCGTTCCGAGGAGGGCAGGTTCAAGGTAAGTTTTCCTGAGCCCACTGTTAATTCCCTAGCTGAGTCGTATGATAATGCCCTTATCTTGAAGTTTTCCTTCACTGTCCCTTCCCTCCGTGACTTATCTGTCGGTCTGGACAAATTAGGGTTTAAGGGTAGAGTGACCCCTAAGTTTCTTAACTATAACCATTATTTACTCTTCTTTGAGCTGAGAGAGGACTACAACTCGGTTTGGATTAAGAC